TTGTCGAGCTTATCAAAGATTAAATCTCAACCGTCAAATTAAGGGTGCGTTTGGTACGTGGGACGGGACGGGACGGAACGGAACGAGGCGTTCCGTCCCGCGTTTGGTGCGCTAAAAATGGGTGGAACGGGTTGTTCCACGGGACAGATTTTGGGTGTTTTTGCGTTCCACCTCTCCCCCCTGGAACGGGTTTGTTCCACGTCTGTGGAACACAATGTTTTACCATTTTAAGACAAATATACCCCATGTCTTTTTCAAAAATTACACCTTCGTTCCGTCCCGTCCCGTCCCGTTCCGTCCCGTCCCGTCCCGTCCCGTTCCGTTCCGTCCCGTCCGCGTACCAAACGCACCCTAAAAGCACACCAAGCCGTGTCAATCACCCCCATAGACTCGACCACAGGAAATCAATTCCTCTTTTAATTTGCATTGATAAAACAAGTTACCGTACGTAAACGCTGGAGAAAACCCAAATCGGTTTAATTTTGGGAGTTTAACGAAAAGCACCCGGTACTGTTCACTTTAACGAAAAACCACATTTTTACACTAAAAAGTCAATCCTGGTACTATTCACTTTACCCTTTATTTTGTCCTTATCATTAAAACTCAAAGTTTTCAAGCTCTTTTCATTAGTTTTCTTTTAATTTTTACTCCCTTCAGAGTTTTTCCCACCTCTGTTTTTTCTGCTCCTCTTTACATAATCTCTCTCTCTCTCTCTCTCTCTCTCTCTCTCTAGCAGAGCGTAAATGGATTCTCCAACATCGTCCGTTTTGTCATCGCCCTCAGCCGTGAAATGCTCTATCTGCATGGAGGGTGTCTCCGACGACTGTGGCCGCACAGTCGTCAAGCTTCAGTGCTCTGACTTGTTTCACCTTGGTGAGCTGATTTTCACACCCTTTTTTTCTTCGCATGCATGCGCGCATTATTTCTGGCCATTCAGTCGAACTGAGTTTGAAGAATCAATGAACAAAAAGAAACCACGATCTGTAGAAAGAGAAAAAAAGCGTACAAAAGTCACTTTCCTTAATTTGATATCCTGTAATTCATAAAAAAGGCTATCTGTGTTGTTTGAATAAGGATTAGGAGAACACTGGAGGATTTCGAAAAATCGGGATGTCTAAAATTTGTCTTGTGACTCTGTGTGCCTAGGCTGTTCGACGAACTAGCTGTTTTAACAGCATTGATGTAAATAATAGAACTTAAAGTAGTTTAAATTGAGTTAATTAGAAATTATAAGATTTAACATTTTTCTTGGTGGAGCTATAGATTGCATTGGTTCTGCATTCAATGTAAAGGGTATCATGGAATGCCCTATCTGCGGCGAGATTGAGGATGGCGTATGGAGGTATTTTATATCTGGTAGCCCTGACCGCGAGCTCAACGTATCTGAGGAAGAGATGGATTATGAGGACAGTCCTATGGAGTTCTTTGACATGGTAAAAGCAATGACAACAATTTTGAAAATTCTTTTTTTCACATCGAACAAGCTTCACGGAAGGTTGTTAAATTTTTCGTGAAGCACGAGTGTCGCCAATATAAAATACGATGTGCGCACACCTGCACAACAAGATGTAATAGCTAATGTGCGTAGTTTATAGATCTGTAAATGGATAAAACCATTTTATGTTGTAGACTGTAAAATTCATCCATTTTTTAGTTCATAAATACGTTTGTGACTGTTTCAGGGGTTACAGGGAACCATGTTACGCCATTTTCATCATGGTGAATGGTAAGCATTGTTTCTACTGTGCAAGCTCCTTACTTTCCTTCTGCTGCATTTGTGTTAGATTGCCCTCATACGATCTTAAGTGTCCTCTGACTATACAAAATCGTTCTGTTTCATTGACGTGAAAAATGTGTAAGTTTGTGTTGTTTAGGCTGTTTATTTAATAGGTAAGATTGATATGTTAACTCGTGTCCCGTTACTTTAGTAAGCGGTTGCTAGTTGTGCTTCAATTCTTTCCTTTTGATAGCTTTTATATGAAACAGCAATGATCAAATTGATGATATTCTGATTCTTCTCCAGAGACTATGGTCCAAGAGGTAGGAACATAAAGAGAGATAGTTTCCGTTTGCACTTTGAGCGAAAACAGAACTACCGGAAAAAAGTTGACGTATGTAGAAAACCTCGATTGTCCTAGGATTTGAACAATCATAAAACTCATATCTATTTCCAGGCAGTTTATTGAACTTTACAGCATGATTAGTGCCTCTATTGGTCTTTGTCTTACATCTGTATGTTTCAAAACTTGCAGGGAAATGGGATGGTTACCGCCTACCCATCGCGGTAAGTTCATCTTTTTTTTTTTCACCTTAAATTCAAATTACCAGTTGATGTAAAACTAGTTTCATGACAGGCTCAGAACCACATTTTGGAGGGAATTTGCTTGCCCCCTATTCGGTCTTTCCTGGCTATCCTTATACCAACAATCGATGGAATGGCCCTCCCATACCCAGCGAGGTATTGCCTTCGAATCCTTCCCAGATTTACTGGAGACCCGAACCTTTACTTTGTGATAGCTATGCCAATTTGTTTTCAACGGGCAGCTATACTGGTGGTGCTAATTGGTCTTCAGTTCCTTCCGCAACCTTGAGTTCCGGGGTTGATTTTACTGGCATGCCAAATGCACCATTTGTTCCTCAAATTGCTGACTGCGGGTAAGCTTTTGATAAACTTAAAGCCCCCCGAATCATTTTGAAAGCTAGATTTTGTTCGTCGTTCTTCAATTTTCTTAAATAGCGTATTGAATCTTTAATCGCATGCTCCTTTTCTGTGTAGCATGCGTTTTCAAACCAGTTATGAATCTCCATTTGGTCTTGCTTATCAAGGAAGCAATGATCCACTTCATCCCAACTTCCAAATGATGCAGCAGTCGCCAACCAATTTCCCTTCACAAGTGGCACAAGCTTCCATGGGAAGATCAAATGACGCGCCTTCACTTGGAAGTTGGGCAGGGCAGCCTAGCTTGATGGAAGTTGGAGTGTCCGTGCAAGTGCAACCTAGCTTGATGGACTGGCTTCGGGCAGGGCAGCCAGCACCTTCACTTGAACAGGCTGCAAACTCCAATTCATTTTTCGTCAACATGAACTCTGGCCTGTCGGAATCAGCAACCGACGGCCATCGCCTTGTGCAGGAAGGAAACGAGGTCCAACCATTCCATCTTTTTCCAGAAGACAGCGGTCCTTTGACTTATTTTTTCCCTGACGTGAATCAGTAAGTCGATATCGTAGCAGAAAACGCCTGAGTTGCAACCCCGTCAAAAATTTATTACCGCAGCCGCATTGCCTCTTTCTATGAGAAGCATAAACTTCAATGATGAACTGAAAAACTATAGATATAGTTTATGAAGTTGTTATTTCATGCTTGTTTTATGCAAGCAACCAAAGTGAAATTAGTATAGTTGAAATATCTCTCAAAATCTCGAACTTCAACCCCAAATCAATCCTTTTGTTTTTTTTGGATACGAACGATATCGAAGGACGGCCAAACAAAGATGGAACTTCGGATCCTTCCGCCAAGGGCCACGGATTCGGCATGTTTAGCCTATAACTAGACGAATGTGGATCCTCTCTGAATCCTCCTCTTTGTGAGATCATCTCTGGATCCTTCAATCATATCCGTTCATCGTGCAATCAGTTTTCGTCAGGTACTGTTTATATTGAATTTTAAATAAAAAGATTTACAATGATTTCTGATCGCACGATATACGATGAACAGATGTAATTGAAGGATCCTTGAGACCCCACAAAAAAGAATCCGGAAAGAATCCTCGTTCAGGTTAGACCTGCACCACTTGTAGGAAAAAAATTTTTAGTGCCAATGTGGGATTTAGTAAGGAGTGAAGAGTCATTCAACCCTCTTAAGTAGCTCACGGTTGTTCACATGATAAATGTAGATGAAATAATAGATGAAAATTTAAAAATCTAAATGAGCATCTCCAAAGGCTAGGCAAATGAGAACGGTGCATAAAATTTTTCCCACGTGATAAATTCGGCAAAATGTCATATCAGTCCTCACTGTTACCATTGCCATTATAGAACGGTACATAAAATTTTCGCTTTATACGGCTTCTTGGGTCAAAAATAAAGGGTAGAGATTTCCTCCGGATCTCTCCCACCAAACCCACATAATCAATTAATCCGGACTTTTAAAATTTGATTCAACGATTACAAACAGAGAGTTCTTTTAAAGTTATAATAATTTTAACTGTTATATCAAATTTTATGGGTCCGTGTTAATTGATTATGTGGCTTTGGTGTGAAAGATTCGAAGAGGATCTCTTCCCAAAAATAAATATAGGGACCACGTCAATATTCTTTTTTTAATCTACTTATGTTTGTAGGATGAATAACTATCGGCTAGAAGTTAAATTGGTTTCAAGATGTATAATTTATGTTGACTCACTGTTTAGCAACGCTACTAGGCCTTGATTCTCTTTCTTGGACAGCTCGAAAGTACAACATTCCCTCAAACAATTGCCTAGCCTTTGGAGATGATTAGATTTTTTTTATTTATTTTAACAAACAATATTATCTATATTAAGGAAGATGTGGATGAGCTTAGCCTCCCAATGATTAATAATAATGTGATTCAAATTTGTCTTTGGCGACAATTGAACCTAAAACCTCTTACAAAGTAAAGAGAAAAATATCACTAAACTGTAGTATTAAGTAGCTGAAGAGGATGAGATTTGACTATGGTTAAAAAATTAAGAAAATTAATGAAAAGACTTGAAAACTTTGAATTTTAACGATAAAAATAAGATAAAAGATAAAATAAATAATATTAGGATTAAATTTTTAATCTAAAAATATAATTTTCGTTAAAATAAATAGTAGATTGAGTTTTTCGTTAAAGTTTCTTAAAAAATTAGGTAGTAAGTAGGAGTAAATAAGGAAATAAATAAAAAGGCCAAAAAACAGTTCGCTTTCAGTTTTATTTTCCCGAGGAAAATGAAGACCAAATTAAGCGGGAAACCCAAAATTTGAAAATCAGGTCCAACCAGAGAGAGGGAGTTTCATTCAGCCACCAATTTTCTTCAGACACCTCCACACCAAAGCAGCCATGGAGGAAACCATAACCCGAATAGTCACGGAGCTCGAAGAACTCCGCCGCTCCGACAACCCCTCCGACCCCCAAATCCAACCCATATCCGATTCCACCCTCTCCGACCTCCAAACCCTCTTAGACATTGCCCTCTCCGACGATGACCCCGAACTCATGGACCGCCTCTACCACGAGCTCTCTTCCAAGTCCATCTCTCTGTCCAATCTCGTCCGTCCGATCACCTCCACCATGGATTTGGGCCGTGCCCATCTCGCCCTATCGGCTTCCAGTGTCTACCTCTCTCTTCTCCTTTCTCCCAATTCCCCCGTCTGCACTCTCTTCACTCCCATGGCCTTTCTCTCTCTCCTCCAGTCAATTCGCCGGTCGCTCAAGCACCGTCCTGCCGGTCAATCGAGCCATGGTTCCCACGTTGCCGGTAATAAGAAGAGAAAGGGCCGGTCCATAAATCAGGGTTCGAAGAATTGTGCCAAGAATGCTATTGATGAGGATTGTGAAGGCGAAGAGAGGGAATTCGATATTCGGGTCTTGTTTACTGTTCTTGAAAGGTTAGAACTTGTAATTGGTTTGATTCATTTGGACCGGTTTCCAGATAGTTTGAAGTCTCTGGTTCAAACTGTGGCTGAAATTCCAGTAATGGGGCTCGAAGTCTGCGGTAATTCAGGTAGCTATAACAAACTAACCGATTTGTGCTCACGGATTTTGCTTAAAGTGTTCATACCTGAGCATGGCGACCAAGCTAACATTGCAGCCGAGGTGTTGAAGTCATTGTCTCCAATGATTCTTCAGTATAAGTTGCAGGTTCGGTTTTTTGCATTGGGGTTTGTGACGAATCAGATGATGAGTGTGGCTAAAACACTTGAAGGCGTCAAGAAAGCAGTAGTGAATTTTCCAAGGTATTTGGTACAGAAGTCGCCGGAGAAGTCAGAGCCTCGGGCTTTGGCTGTGGAGTCTATAATGGAGGTTGTAAGAGTTATGGAGTTTGAGGATCAAATTGGGTTTGTGGATTATGTAGTGAAGATGACTCAAGGTAAGGCAAGCTTGAGGCTTTTGGCGGTTGACCTTATTCTGGCGCTAGTGACATCATTGAGAGATACATTGGGATTGAATTCGGAAATTGAAGTGATTGATTCATTGGGGTTCAAATGCTTGGAGGCTTTGATTCAACGCTGTTCGGATTCAACCGCTGGAATTCGAGGTCGTGCTTTATCAAACTTGTCACATCTCGTGGGCTTGTTGTCAAGCGATGAGAGGGGCCGTGATGTGCTGAAACAAGTTATGGGGCTTGGCAATGCAAGTGACAAGAGGCCTGACAGTTGGGTAAATGAAATTTTGATGAAGAGGTGCATGGATGAGAAGGCAGGTGTGAGGAAGGCTGCACTTCTTTTGATTACCAAGTTGATAGCCATTCTAGGCAGTGGCTTTGATGGAGCCTTGCTCCAGACAATGGGAATGGCTTGTTCTGATCCACTTGTTAGCATACGCAAGACGGCAGTTTCAGCTCTTTCAGTGGTAAGTTTCCCATTGTTCTTCATCAACCAAATGTTTTGGTTATGGTTTCTAATTGGTTTATATATTTTGTGTAGTTAGTTAATGTTCAAAATTATGAGCATGTAATTGGCTTGGAATGCTTTGTTTAGCTTCCCATGTCCCATAAACCATTAAAAAAATGTGTATACTTTTGGGAACTTATCTTGAGTTTATCAAAAGGATTGCCATGTTAACTTCTTACCAGCCCCAGGACCACAATTTCTAACTCACAATGGTTCTCTTAGTATATAAACTTTCGTAAATTCGAATTTTTATTTGACGGAAAAATCTCAATTAAATTTCTGTCAACCACTTTGTAGAAGCACATCTGTATTTGCTGACAATTTTTTATCAAGTCGTTATAATATTCTTTTAGTGTACACTTTTGGCTGATGGGTAAGCTAAACAAATGAGATATTATTGGTTTCAATGAGATACATAACTTCTGAACTAAAGACCAAATCAGATAAATAAAGGGAAATATGCTTCATTAAGTTTCTCTTCGTGGAAATTATTTGGTTTGAAAAACCACATGGATGCCTGCCTTAGAGTTAGTGCATATGCTCGTGATCACTTTACATGTTCTTTTTGACTTGTACATGTAATGGACTTATTTTTGTGCAACTCCTGATATTATTTGTTGGACCTCTGCATTGACCTCTTAGGCCTTTAGAACATTCCTGGATGAAAGGGTGGCAACTGAGTGGCTACATTCTGTTCCACGTTTAATAGCTGATAATGAGTCTAGCATTCAAGAAGAATGTGAGAACTTGTTTCTAGAGCTGGTATTAGAACGGGTATCTACTGTTGATTCTGTTAGTTCACTTCACGATGAATCTGTAGCAAAAGACACGGAAATGGATGTTGATTTGGTGTTTCCTGAAGGTGTTTTGTGTATATTGAAAGAGATTTGCAATGGAGAGGTGACACCTTGGGTGAAGAAAATTTGCACAAACCTGGGAAAGAAGAAACTGATGAAGCCCAAATTTGCTATTTCACTTCAAAATATCATACGAACATCTGAGTCTCTCTGGCTCAGTCAATCCTTGCCAATAGAGAAATGGACAGCCCCACCTGGTTCTTGGTTTCTTCTATCAGAGGTGTCAGCATACCTTGCAAAAGCAGTGGACTGGGAGTTTCTTAATCATCATTGGCAGCTCTTTGACAAGTATGGAGTGGGAGGAGAGGTTCAAAGGCCTACAGCGCAAGGATATGCACATGAAGAGGAAGAGGGTATTGATTCCAATTCCGTTGCTTGGGCGGGGGATCGTGTTTTTCTCCTGCAGACAATTTCTAATGTTTCTGTTGAGCTGCCCTCTGAACTTGCAGCAGACTTAGCTCACAACATGCTTAAAAGAATTCATGAGTTCAACATGCATTCAACAGAGGTAATATCTGCTGGTGTGAGCATATTGTTAAAATGTGCTCTTTTATTTAGTTGCTTTATGTAATGACAGGTTAATGCTCATGTAAAAGCACTTAGAACATTGTGCAAGCGGAAGGCTTCAAACCCAGTGGAGGCTGATGCTCTTGTTGAGAAATGGGTGGACAGGCTCATCACAGAAGCTTCTACGATTTTAGAGAAGTATATTTCGGGTGATTCAGATGCAGTCGGAAAAGCTGACTTCTTTACGCCACCTAGAAGTGAGACTAGAAAGGGCAAGAGAGTATTGGCCATGTCCAGGTCATTGTCAAAAGCAGTCACAGCAGTTTACACCATTGGGTCCGTGGTTATCATTTACCCATCTGCTGATATGACCACCGTCATTCCACTACTGTACACTATCATCACTTCCGGAAATCCTGATCCAAAAGTTAATAAATTAACCGGGCCTGAAGTCTCTCTAAAGCAGACAGCCCCTTCGTTATACATTCAAGCATGGCTTACTTTGGGGAAGATCTGCCTTGCAGATGGAAAAATTGCAAAGAGTTATATTCCGCTGTTTGTGCAGGTTTGTTCATTGACTTTGCATTTTTTCTGTTGTACAGTCTTTAAATGCTTTCTGGAAAGAGCTATGCTTCAGATTTCTAGGGTACTTAAAACCTAGAAACTGTTTTGCTAACAATTGTACTCACCTGCAGCCTACCAGTTTTACACCCTTATCAATTATTCTGACATACGTGCACTTACATATATGTATATTAGTCATATCTGCGTGTGTCAGCAGTTTCAAAACTGTTCATTCTTAAATTCTTTGCTTCTTGTGTCTATATAAGTAATTGAGTTCCAAACCTCACAACATTCTATAGGAACTTCAAAAGAGTGATTGTGCTGCACTCCGCAACAACCTGATAGTGGTGATGGCAGATTTTTGTGTTCGCTACACTGCTTTAGTTGATAGGTAAGACCTGTGAAACTGTACCTTAAAAAACTTGAGTTGAGTAATATCTTTGACATTTACCTTTGTAACTTTATTGTTTGCTTTATAAGTTTCTCAATAGTTTTTCTTGAATCAACAGTTATATACCAAAGATCACAAAGTGTCTCCGTGATCCATGTGAACTTGTAAGAAGGCAGACATTTATACTTCTCTCGAGATTATTGCAGGTATATGTTGGTTCTGCGTCTTACATTTCCATTTTGATTGAAATCTAGGCATATAACTAATTCTGTGTTTTATTCTGTGCTGGCATATTCAGAGGGATTACGTGAAGTGGAGAGGTGTTATGTTCCTCAGATTTCTCTTGTCAATTGTTGATGAGTCAGAAAAGATAAGGCAGCTTTCCAGTTTTCTGTTTAACAATATTCTGAAAGGTTAAAAGGCATTCTCTCGCTAATCAAATTTCCAGTTGTGAAATTGCGGATGTCTTTGTTAATGAGATTTGACCGTTCTGTTTGGTTTTTTGTCTTTCAGTGAAGGCACCTCTTCTAGGATATAACAGTTTCGTAGAAGCAATTTTTGTTCTGAATGATTGCCATGCCCACAATGGACACAGTAATGCTCAGGTATCACGAGCAGAGGGCCGACTTTTTTCCATCAGGTAAGGTGTGTCTATCATCAATTGAAAGTCAGCAAGTATGAAAAAGAGATTATTATCTTACATAGAGTTTATGTGATTGTCCCCAGGGGCAATGATGAAAATTCGAGGTCTAAAAGAATGCAGATCTATGTTACTTTGCTAAAACAAATGGCTCCAGAGCACTTATTGGCTACCTTTGCAAAGTTATGCGCAGAGATTCTCGCTGCAGCATCTGACGGTATGCTCAATATAGATGATGTTACCGGACAATCTGTTCTGAAGGTATTTGCTGCCTCACATGTTCAAAATCTTCTTTCAATAGTTCTCTGTATGTCTGTGGAATATGTACAACTGTAATACGTTATACTGACACATTTATGTATGTAATGGAACTTATACAATCTGTGTCCTTCCAGCTTAACCTTTTGAGTCTTTTTATTGAGTTTCTTAGTAAACATATTTCTAGATTTCTGATTGATCTCCTTTTTTATACGTGCTTTCTTAATTTTGAGAGCAGGATGCTTTCCAAATTCTTGCCTGCAAAGAGATCCGAATCCCATCCAACCGCGGATCACCAACTGACACTGGAGAAATGGACGAAGATGGTGGTGATAACAGCGGGGCATCTGCTAAGGGAAGGATAACTCAAGCAGTCAAAAAGGGGCTCATCCAAAACACAGTACCCATCTTTATAGAGCTGAAACGGCTACTGGAAAGCAAAAACAGCCCCCTTATCGGCTCTCTCATGGAATGCCTCCGAATCATTCTCAAGGATTACAAAAATGAGATCGAAGACATATTAGTCGCTGACAAGCAGCTCCAGAAGGAGCTCGTATGATATGCAGAAGTATGAAGCATCAAAGGCCAAAACAACAGCTGCAGAGGCTGTTGCCATCAGCAAAAAAGCAATCAGCTTCAACTCCCCCGGCATGTCTAAGATTGCTAGCTTGAGACATGCACAAAACAAGTTCAGCAGCAAAATGCAAGGTGACACACAACTGGCTTCAGCAATGGCAGATGCTGCAGCTGAAGCCACCGCACGGTCAGTGCTGAAGGAAGTGAACAGGGGGCTGCAGTCGCCCCCTCTTAGCGCGCTGAGCGTGCCTAAACTCAAGACATGCGAAGGAGGACGCAGCGCTCGCAGTGACCGGCCCTTAGATGTGTTAGAATCTGTGAGGAGAAGGCAGAATTTTGACCTTGATGAAGTGAACTAAATTAGGATACCAGCCCATGGAATAAAAGGCTGCTAAAGTTGAATTCTTTGTACTTCAATGTAAATATAAACAAAATCAACGTAAATTCAGTTTTTCATCCCACTTGTGAATTGCTTCCGGTTGACTGCTAGTTTGTTATGTACTTATTTCATAACAAAAATGTGAGGAATTTTTAGCAATGTTTATGAAATGACTAAAAACGTTGTTTTTTTTTTTTTTTTTGTAATACCAAACTAATCCTAAGTGCTTGCAGTGTTTTCAAATGAGTATTGATAAAAATGTTAGACGTGCATATAAGAAAAAGTGCTTCTTATGCATCTTGTCATGACTCATAGTCAATTAAGCTTGTATGTTGCCCGAATCATGATTTTAATCCCTGTGATTTCACCCTCACATTATGACACTCATGAGCTAATTTTTGAAATATTGAAATATTGGTCAAATAAAAAATTGTGACAATTAAAACCTTTTTTCTTTGAGTAAATTGTAGTAATGGTCTCTTAATTTTAATCAAATTGGAACAATGGTCCCTCAACTAGAAATCTATTACCATTGGAGTACAAAGACCAAAAACCACATAATATATCACTCATAATAAATTGATTCTCAACCGTTTGTTTGAATTCTCTATCTCGTTTCTCATCTTCTCGATGTGCAAGTTGAATCAGACCTAGACGATACCAAGCCAGCTACCACCATCACTATATTGCCATTCTCCTCTCATTCTAAACGACGGGTCAACCACTACCACTCTGTCTACTCCATTCTTAGATCAACCACCACCGCTGCACCAACACCACTTTCTATTTCTCTCTCAATCTCCAACCTATTCCTCCATCTCTAAAACCAAACAAATCCTGGTTTGGGAGGAAATTCACCTCAAAATCCAATTTTTCACCTTCAATTACATCAAGGATTCAAGATAAGTGTTTGAAATTGTGAAATTTCAAATTAGAGTGTTTGATTGTCGAATTAGGGGTATGAATTTGTCTAATTGAGGATCAAAATTCCCTGAGAGCGAGTTAATTTTTTAATATTCCCGAATTTTGGGATCTAAAAATTTTAATTCGATATCGATATATAATTTGTTTGAACTGAAAATTTCGATTCACTTTGATTTTTGGAAGAATGATTTTGGTTTGGTTATCGAACCAAACCGAACCCTAGACTTGGTAAAAAAAGAAAGGGATCTTTTGATACAGGCGCCTCAGTTTTGAATTTTTTAAATCAAACATCCATGCATTTTAGTGAGTTGATTAAACTTTTTTTGTCATAATTTTGGTGCTATATGCACATTATATTGTAACAAATTTCCTATAATCTAGCATTTTAATTGTAACATCCCAAATCGCCCAGGGGAGTGGATCTTGTAAGCCTTATATGTATATTCCCATTTTTACCTAGTACGAGGCCTTTTGGGAGCTCACTGGCTTTGGGTTCCGTAGGAACTCCGAAGTTAAGCGAGTAGTGTGCGAGAGCAATCCCGGTGACCTACTGGGAAGTTCTCGTGTGAGTTCCTAGAAACAAAATCGTGAGGGCGTGGTCGGGGCCCAAAGTGGACAATATCGTCCTACGGTGGAGTCGAGCCAGGAATGTGGTAGGGGCCTGGGCCAGGATGTGACAATTTGGTATCAGAGCCAATCCTTGATCGGAAATGTGCCGACGAGGACGTCGAGCCCCTAAGGAGGGTGGATTGTAACATCCCACATCGCCCAGGGGAGTGGATCATGTAAGCCTTATATGTATATTCTCATCTTTACTTAGCACGAGGCCTTTTGGGAGCTCACTGGCTTCGGATTCCATTGGAACTCCGAAGTTAAGCGAGTTCGCATGAGAGCATTCCCAGGATGGATGACCCACTGGGAAGTTCTCGTGTGAATTTCCAGAAACAAAACCATGAGGGCGTGATCGGGGCCCAAAGTGAACAATATCGTTCTATGGTGGAGTCGAGTCCGTGATGTGGTAGGGGCTCGAGCCGGGATGTGACAATAATTACACTCTCCTCCGTTAAAGATAATTGTAAAAAACAAAGAAAGTTGGTTATATTCAATTTATTTTCACACTAATGCTACAATTTAGCAATAATTATCTACGATTTAAGATATTTTATTTCCAAATTTGTTTAAAATATTTTTAAATCCCACAAAATCAAACGAACTGAAATAAGTTTTTCTTTTAGTATGTTAAGAGAAAATAGGATTGAGAATAATATAAACGTACCAATACACAATGTGTACAAAATAAAAATAATGTACCAATATTAACAATATGTATCAAATCAAACGTACCAAAATTGCAACTAACATACCAATTAATGATTTTTGTAAATTCAAACGTATTCGCTGATAATATATACGTAATGTATTATACATAATAATAATTCGTCAACAACTATACTTAAAAAACAACAAAAAATAAAAAATAAAATAATTTGACAAAAAAATGAAAAAATTACACGGAGGTTTTATGTTGATCGCCAACTATTTGAAAAAAAAAATAGTCGGGTAGTCGACTATTTTAAAATATTCAAGATGATATTCCTTGGTGTATGCTTTTCGCAGACGATATAGTGTTGATAGATGAAACTCAGGAAGGGGTAAATGCAAAGCTTAACCTTTGGAGAGAAGTGTTGGAATCTAAAGGTCTTCGCCTAAGCCGATCAAAGACAGAATATATGGAGTGCAAGTTCAGTGCAAATGGAGGCCAAAACGAGTTAGGGGTGAGGATCGGAGATCAAGAAATACCAAAGAGCGACCGTTTTCGTTACCTAGGATCTATCTTGCAAAAGAACGGAGAAGAGATGGAGAATCTCAACCATAGAGAATACAAGCTGGATGGATGAAGTGGAAGAGTGCATCCGGCGTGTTGTGTGACCGCCGTATGCCACTGAAGCTCAAGGGAAAATTTTATAGGACGGCAATAAGGCCGGCGATGCTGTATGGCACAGAATGTTGGGCGGTGAAACATCAACACGTACACAAAATGGGTGTAGCGGAGATGAGGATGCTTCGTTGGATGTGTGGGCACACGAGAAAGGATAAGATTAGGAATGAGGATATCCGGGGTAAAGTAGGAGTAGCCGAAATTGAAGGAAAGATGAGAGAAAATCGGTTACGGTGGTTTGGACATGTGCAAAGAAGGCCTACTGACGCTCCGATTAGAAGATGCGACTATGGGACAGAGAGGTTCAGGGCCGAAGGGGTAGAGGAAGACCTAGGAAAACTTTGGAAGAGACTCTAAGAAAAGACTTAGAGTACTTGGATCTAACGAAGGACATGACACAGGATCGAGCACAATGGCGTTCTAAGATTCATATAGCCGATCCCACTCAGTGACTTGGATTTTCCAAGTCTCCAACCAAGAAGTTTTCCTCACTCGGGAAATTAAGGGAACACTACCCCAACCTACATGCTCCACTCAGAAAGCTTCAACATACAAGCTTCAACAAAAGAAAATTCAAAGAACTTAGCGAAGAAGGCTTTGGTGTATTTAACACAATACGTTGAAATGAAGGAAAGCTTATTTATTGATATCCCCGATAAGCTACAAATATGTACATATACATGAGTCAAAATAAACACACAAGAGGGAGCCTTCACAAAGGTTGCTTAGGAGAAGTCTCAGCAGTTGGTAGAGCCCCAGAAAGAGAAGGCACCGGAGGGGGATCATTTGGAGCCTCAGTACTGGACAGAACCCTAGAAGGAGGAGGCATCAGAGGTTGATCATTTGGAGCTTCATTACGCGGTACAGCCCTAGAAGACGAAGGCAATAAATGCCTTTGGAACAAACCCACAAATCTCTGATGATCAAGTAAAACCTGACCATCAGTTTCCTTCATCTGGTCAAGCTTCCTCTTCATGTTTGTAGCATAGTCATGTGCGAGCCGGTGCAACTGTTTATTCTCATGCTTGAGCCCTCTCTAATCTCCTGTTTTGAGACTCATCACTTCAGCCGCCAATGATTCAACTTGGCGGGTTCGAGCAAATAGGCGTTGGGCCATATTAGACACAGAACCTGCACACTGAACACTGAGAGCCAGCGAATCCTTAACAGCTAACTCATCAGACCGTTTGGAAAGTAGTCTGTTATCTTTGGGAGTGAGAAGGTTCCTGGCCACCACCGCAGCAGTCATATCATTCTTCATCACGGAATCCCCAACGGTAAGAGGACCAGTTGGGGAGACGAAGGATGGGCGCCATATGTTGTCTGGAGAAGGCGGGGCTGCCTCTTCAACAAGGTTCAAGTCAAAACGACGGTCGGAGGGGCCAGACATTTTCAAAGGTGTTGAAGAGAGAAGAGGTCGGACAAATCAAGATCTTAGAAGTGCAAGAATGAAGCTTCTACTGGTGGAGATTCAAGTGTGCTTTGGAACTTAATGCCAGCCTCTATAAAAATCTGCACTCGACGGAGCTTCAGAAATCAAAGAGGCGCCTGCTCAGAAATCGAAGAGGCGTTTGCTTTCTCAAAAGTTGGGCTGCTTAGAGATCACGAGGGTTGATCTCAGAAATCGAAGAGCCGTTTGCTTTCTCAAAAGTTGGGCTGCTCAAAGACCACGAAGGCCGATCTCAGAAATCGAAGAGGCGCTCGCTTTCTCAAAAGCTGGGCTTCCTAGAGACCACGAGGGCCGATCTCAGAAATCGAAGAGGCACCTACTTTTCCAGCCTTGTCAGCACCTGTCACACGCACACTCAGCTTTGCGGAAATTATGGGCATTCTGTCGAAGACTTCTGGGGAAGTAGAAAACACATGAATCTTACTGTTCAATCACCCACTTCCCACACGCAACAATAGCTCATGGGTACCACAGATAACTTTGCCAAAGTTCTCTGCCAAAGTTGAGCACGTGAAGCTTGCAGCTCCCACTACATCGCTCTGACCAAGAAGGGTAAAAGAATAGCAAAGAAACAGCACTAACAAAGTTTAGACCCATAAATTTTGAAGGTATAGCTACCATATTATTACCCACAAGGGTAAAGGAACAGTACCACTGCTGGATAATTGGAAAGTCCATGTATGTCAACCTCTGTGCTTCGTGGCAAGGTAGACTAGCAAACATGCCCAACCTTTACTCACATTCGAGAAAACACTCCCAATAAGATTGCTTGCTCCAAAATCGAAGAGGCACCGTCCTCCGAATCTAAAGAGCCAGACTCCCAACATGACTACTTTCTTAAAAATCGAAGAGAGGGTAAAGGAACAGTACCATTGCTGGATAATTGGAAAGTCCCTGTGTGTCAACCTCTGTGCTTCGTGGCAAGGTAGACTAGCAAACATGCCCAACCTTTACTCACATTCGAGAAAACACTCCCAACAAGATTGCTTGCTCCAAAATCGAAGAGGCACCGCCCTCCGAATCTCGAGAGCCAGACTCTCCCAACATGATTACTTTCTCAAAAATCGAAGAGACACTGCTCCCCGAATCTCGAGAGCCAGACCCCCAGCATGATTGCTTTCTCAAAAATCGATGAGGCATCGTTCTCCGAATCAATCGAAGAGGCGCTCGCTTTCTCAAAAGCTGGGCTGCTCAGAGACCACGAGGGCCGATCTCAGAAATCGAAGAGGCACCTACTTTTCTAGCCTTGTCAGCACCTGTCACACGCACACTCAGCTTTGCAGAAATTATGGGCATTCTGTCGAAGACTTCTGGTGAAGTAGAAAGCACATGAATCTTACTGTTCAATCACCCACTTCCCACACGCAACAATAGCTCATGGGTACCACAGATAACTTTGCCAAAGTTCTCTGCCAAAGTTGAGCACGTGAAGCTTGCAGCTCCCACTACATCGCTCTGACCAAGAAAGGTAAAAGAATAGCAAAGAAACAGCACTAACAAAGTTTAGACACATAAATTTTGAAGGTCTAGCTACCATATTATTACCCACAAGGGTAAAGGAACAGTACCACTGCTGGATAATTGGAAAGTCCCTGTGTGTCAACCTCTGTGCTTCGTGGCAAGGTAGACTAGCAAACATGCCCAACCTTTACTCACATTCGAGAAAACACTCCCAACAAGATTGCTTGCTCCAAAATCGAAGAGGCACCGTCCTCCGAATCTCGAGAGCCAGACTCCCAACATGACTACTTTCTCAAAATCGAAGAGAGGGTAAAGGAACAGTACCATTGCTGGATAATTGGAAAGTCCCTGTGTGTCAACCTTTGTGCTTCGTGGCAAGGTAGACTAGCAAACATGCCCAACCTTTACTCACATTCGAGACAACACTCCCAACAAGATTGCTTGCTCCAAAATCGAAGAGGCACCGCCTTCCGAATCTCGAGAGCCAGACTCCCAACATGATTACTTCCTCAAAAATCGAAGAGACACTGCTCTCCGAATCTCGAGAGTCAGACCCCCAGCATGATTGCTTTCTCAAAAATCGAAGAGGCATCGTTCTCCGAATCTCGAGAGCCAGATACCACAGACCACTTTTTCAAAGTGCTCTGACAGAGTTAAAACATGTGAAACTGGCAGCTCCCACTACCGTGCTATGACCAAGCAGGGTAAAGGAATAGCATTACTACTTGTTGTTAGGGAGACTCCTATATATGTCGACCTCCATCCCCAACGGACAGGCAGACCTGCAAAAATGCTCAACCCTTCATCATATCTGAGAGGGCACTCCCAACGAAGCCTTTCGAAATATTCAGCTTTCTTTCCCCCCGATAATACCTCTGCAAACAAGCTATACTAGAGCAAGAATATCTCATATCATCAGGGTTAAAAGCAAGAGTATCCCATATCATGCTTTTTCCCTGTCTTTTCCTTTTGGCCTTGTTTTTACCTGCAAGACAAGGAGAAAGAGAGCAATCAGTCAGCACTTGGAATCAAGCTTCCAGCCAGGAACTGACTGCCTGGAACCCCTTACCTGATTACTTACCTGGCATTGCTCTCGAGTACTCATCTTCAACATCTTATGTTTCCAGGGAAGATTCCGCATCTGCTTGAGGAACAGATAGGGCAAGTGCGAAGGATACAAGGAAGCATGTGGAGACAAGCGTAACAGCACACGTGCCGATACATCCATTACTCTGTCAAAAGCAAAAGTATCCCATATCAGCAGGGTGGAACGTACTCTAGATTTGATGGACTTGTTTTGACCCTCAAATTCTTCAGTCGGCCTTATACTCTGGAGGAAACCAGAAAACCCTCCAGCTCAGTTCAAGAATAAGCCTGTGGAAAGTTACTTCTTCAAAAGCAAAAGTATCTCATATCATCTCTTCTCATTTTTCTTCTCTTTATCCTTCATGCTGCTGCAAGATGGGGAGAAGGTGAACAATCAGTCGGAGCTCTGATTGCTTACCTTGTCTGTCACCTCTTTCAGCAGACCCCCTAGCTCGGCGACTTGGGGGACTCCTACTACATGGTTTGTATCGCGCTTGACCAAGCCTGAAACTACAAGTAAGCTTCAAGTGAAATTGATACATTACCTTGTGCATCTCCACCAGTTAAAGATACCACCCCTGGATGGAGGAAGAGTACTTCCAGAGAAGATGCCACATCTACCTATGAGACAGATAAGGCAAGTCAAGACGACACCACACTCCGATACTTAGAAGTTTCGTGATTACGAGATCATTCTCCCACAATATTTCCTAATGTCATTTGTACTAAATCATTCACTTGTACTCACTAAAGGAGAGCTTGAACCTATGTACTTGTGTAAACCCTTCACAATTAATGAGAACTCTTCTATTCCGTGGACGTAGCCAATCTGGGTGAACCACGTACATCTTGTGTTTGCTTTCCTATCTCTATCCATTTATATACTTATCCACACTAATGACCGGAGCAATCTAGCGAAGATCACAAAAAGCGACCGTTTTCGCTACCTAGGATCTATCTTGCAAGAGAACGGAGAATTAGATGGAGATCTCAACCATAGAATACGAGCTGGATGGAAAGAGTGCATCCGGCGTGTTGTGTGACCGTCGTAGGCCACTGAAGCTCAAGGGAAAAATTTTATAGGACGGCAATAAGGCCAGCGATGTTGTATGGCACAGAATGTTGGGTGGTGAAGCATCAACACGTACACAAAATGGGTGTAGCGGAGATGAGGATGCTTCGTGGGATGTGTGGGCACACGAGAAAGGATAAGATTGGGAATGAGGATATCCGAGGTAAAGTAGGAGTAGCCGAAATTGTAGGAAAGATGAGAGAAAATCGGCTCTGGTGATTTGGACATGTGCAAAGAAGGCCGACTGACGCTCCGGTTCGAAGATGTGACTACGGGACAGAGGTTCAGGGCCGAAGGGGTAGAGGAAGACCTAGGAAAACTTTGGAAGAGACTCTAAGAAAAGACTTAGAGTACTTGGATCTAACGGAGGGCATGACACAAAACCGAGCGCAATGGCGTTCTAGGATTCATATAGCCGACCCCACTTAGTGGGAAAAGGCTTTGTTGTTGTTGTTGTTGTTGTTTGCATAACAAAAAAAAAATTGTGATCGAAAAAACATATCTGGAACAAGAGAAAATATTGGTTAATTACTACTATCTCCACTAAATAAGAAAAAGTGCATCATGAAGATAAAATGATAAATTCAAAAAGCACAAATGTTATACAAAAATTGTAGAGAATTCTAATTTTCTCAAAAAAAAAAAAAAAAAAAAAAAAAAAGAGGAAGACCCAATTCAAGTCCTTCTGCTGCACCATGTGCCTGCGTGGCGTGGTCCAATTGGACGGAGATCAAATGAGACTCGCTGTCGAGTCCCTTGACGCACCACTCCTCTGCTGTTGTCTTGGTACCGCTTGTTCGTGTCCCAAACTCGAAACCTTGTCTCTCACACGAATTCAAGCACTCACCTTTCGAGGTTTCGATCCATTTATCAGGTAATTTTTTCATCAACTAAAACCTTAATTTTGTTTCAATCTCTGTATATGTATGTCTGCATCAGAATCTAATCTGCATTATTCCCTTTAATTAGGACGAATTGAATTCACGGACTGGATAATCGGAACCGAAAGCCCCATTTGTGGATTCGAATCGAGATTGGAATTTGCTCAATTCGAGCGCTGGTTTGTCCATGCTGGCATTTATTGTTCTTGTTTTCGAGTTTTGGGAATTGGGTTTGTTGAATTGTTGAATTAGCAGTAGGTTTTTGACAATGGAAGGTAATAAGGATGAAGCTTTAAGGTGTGTTCGGATCGCCGAAGAAGCAATTGCTTCCGGCAACAAAGGGCGTGCCTTGAAATTTATTAAGATTGCACAACGGCTTAATCATAATTTGCAAGTTGATGAACTTTTGGCTGCGTGTGAGGCAATTAATTCGGGGTCTTCCGCGTCTTCTGTTGATGAGAAGGGTGCTGGTGAGATTAGGAATGAGCCGGGCGTGGAGAAATTGGGCTGCGGTTTGAATGGGGAGGTTAGTTATACCGAAGAGCATGTTCAGTTGGTTAGGAAGATTAAGAGAAACAAAGACTATTACGGAATTCTTGGCGTGGAGAAGACTTGCTCGGTCGAGGACATTAGGAAGGCTTATAGGAAGTTGTCATTGAAGGTTCATCCTGATAAGAACAAGGCTCCCGGTTCAGAAGAAGCGTTTAAGATAGTAAGCAAGGCTTTCAAGTGTTTGAGTGATGGGGACTCTAGGAGGCAGTATGATCAGACTGGATTAGTTGATGAATTTGAGTACAACCAGCAGCACAATAATACGAGGAGAAGGAGGAGGAGAGGTGGGAATGACTTTTTTGACGATGATTTTGACCCCGATGACATATTCAGGGCGTTCTTTGGTCAATCAGACATGTTTCGGTCAAGTCATGTTTATAGGACTAGTAGAACAGCTGGTCATCAGAGGGAGGAGTCTCAGGGAGGGGGACCTAACATCATGCTTCTTCTTCAAATAATACCTTTTTTGGTAATTTTGTTGTTGGCATATCTGCCCTTTTCAGAGCCCGTCTACTCTTTGCAGAAGAATTATAACTACCAGATTCCCAAGACGACAGAGAAATATGGAGTGGAATTTTTTGTTAAATCGCAAGCATTTGATGAGAGTTATCCCATTGGAAGTGCTGGTCGAGTTAACGTTGAGAGCAGTGTTATCAAGGATTACAAAAATGTGCTTGCACACTACTGTCGGGTTGAGCTTCAAAGGCGCCACTGGAGTAAGAATCTGCCTACTCCTCACTGCGACAAACTAAATAAGCTTGGAGTAGCATGAAGGTAAGCTGTGATATTTTCTTTTTCAAAAAATAGAGATCTGTAACTTTTACTTGTTCGTTGTGTCAAATGGTGCCAATGTTTTCTGTTCATTGTGTCCTTGATTAGAACGTGTCTTCCACTTTCCTAACCTTAGCTTTTCCTAACCTATTGTATGAATTGCGTGATCCTGTACGGGAGTTTAATGTTGCTCTTTCCTTTTGGTGCTATGTGTGTTTTCAGCACAAATTCATATTCAGCACAAGTTACTGACCCCTACTTATTTCTCAGCAACTGTAAAGTTGTCAAATTTAAGTCCTTTGAAGCATAAGTTGTGGACAATACCTAAGTTGCAGGGCCAAACACGAAAAGCAGTTTTCCGTGTTTGAGTACTCTTTGAGTGCTTTCATTTTAGTGTAGAACTGTATATGCTTCCCAGCCTTGTTTCTACCCCTGGCCAAAAAAGTTAATTTGAATCCATGTGTCCTGTTTCTTTGTTGGTTGGTAATATGGTATCATATTTCAAGTTAACCATTTTAACGACATTCCGTATTTTGACTTTTTATCGAGCAGAGGCTATATGGCTGAAGTGGATGTTTAGTGCCACTATGTTGAGCCTGGACTTCAAAGTACAGTGGGTTGATATTGTAAATGCTCCAGTCGACTTCTTTGGAAGTAACCAAGGATTGCTTATCCTCTCCAATATGACTGGCTGGCCATACAGCTGTTCGGGAATGTCATCCAGGATAGTGGTAGCGAGGGTTTTCAGCACCCTAATGGGATATCATTTGGCTAGAAATAATAGTGTACACAACTCTTGAAATTACCTGGGAGGTCAATACTAGTTACGAAAGTTTATGAAAAGTTGAGCAAGAGGTTTGTGATAGTGATTATTTTCGCTTTATAACACTACATTTTCTATGTATTCTTTTTATCAGACTATACGGTTGCTGTTTACAGTTTTGTTTTATTTGGTTCAGATATTAAGCATGCATATATGCAAGTAGCGAGCCGTGCAGCTTAAGCATCAGCCCTTATCGTTCGTTATTTGTTGTTTCGAAGAATTTATATCGTTTCTTAGCTGACTGTTAAGCATATCTTGTCCTTGACCAATGCATATAGTATGGAGGAAACTATGTTGCTTTGATTTAGCTCTATTGTCTTATGCCAGTGTCTTGATTTTCAATAGAGTTGTTAGAGAACAGTTTAATCCTCAGTGTTGCAGACAAGTCCTCGTCCTCCAAGGATACATGTGATGTATAGCGCAAGAGTCTGCTTGCCTCGGAGTCGTTCAGGGTATCGAAACAGAAGGACACTGGTGTCCTATGGATGAGTTAAAGAACATCTCTGATGGGAATGTAGGATATCTTTACAGTTTTAGTTCTGAATGAAAATGCATGGTTGCTCCTGTTCATTGCAACTTCATGAGATGTTCAATATCAGAAATTGAGATACCTCCCTAACTGACTTCTTTTACTGTGCTCGGGTCATCCGTCTAAGTAGGGGCGGACGCACGTTAAGGCAAGAAAGGGCAGCTTCCGGTTCGGAGGCCGAAGTTCGACCATTCATTCGATTAAGGGTCTTTGGGTCTGAATTTCTATCACATGCCTTTGTAATGTTTATATGATACATTCCTAATCTTTCACATATAACATTTTGTGAGCTGTTCATTATTAACACGACATCAATCCCTTGGCACTTGAAAATTTGTCACTCAAATATGTCATCGACATAACGCAAAAGGGGAAGCGAGCCATGAGGAGTGAGAGGTGGCATTGCCCTCGGGGGCGGCTGTTCTTTATGTTTTTTTCAGTTAAAAAAAAAAAAAGGTTTTATGATTAAGCCACGTGTCACCATTTGATTAGATAAGTGGATTCACTTGTGTGTCACATCAGCACTCTAACAAAACAAAATTGACATAAGGTTAAGAGAAGGACCAGAATAATTTGGAGTCATTTTTCAAGACCAAATTGATGAATTCCCTATTTCAAAGACTATTTTAATTGGAATGGTCAATTTTAGAGACCAACTGTAAAACTCACTTAATTATAATTGGGTTTTTATCACAAATAGTCTTTGAAATTGACTCTCACTATTAAGATGGTCCCTGAAATTGAAAACCAATCAATGTAGTCCTTGAAAATATGTGTCGCAAATCAATATGGTCATTTTTTCACAATTTTGTTAAAAATTCCATTAAGTGTTGGTCTAGCATATAAATGAGTCCCATAAGTCCTTTTTTCTCACAAATGGTCATTGAAATTGACATGTGATATCAAAATAGTCCTTGAAATTGACTTGTGACATCAAATGGTCATTGAAATTGAAAATCAATCAATGTATTCCCTCAAGTAATTGTCCCAAATCAATTTAGTTATTACGTCACAATTATGTAAAAAATTCTATTATGTGCTGATGTGACACATAAATGGATCACACAAGTCTAATTAAATTAAATAAAAATTACAAATATGTTTAATAATTTAATAGTTAATAAAAAGTTATGAACCAAAAAACCCAGTCCTGCAATCACCTCCGATCCTAGTCCACATTTCTCTAACTTCTTCATTGTCTATTCTCTAAAAAAAATCTCAATACACTCATCTTTACACATTTCGACACCCTTCACCGAATTGAATCTAGATCGAGATCACCATTGGTGAGGGTCAATTTCATTGTGCAACCTAGATCGACACACTTTGACACTCTATTCGGAGTAGGTCCTACTATAAGAAAAAAAATTCTATTGTGCAAAAAGGTATTTGGACAGCTCTTTTAATTTTTTATTAAATCTACATCAACACATAACAAATTTTTTTATAGAATTGTGGCGGAATGATTATATTGATTTGCGACACATATTTTCAAGGACTACATTAATCGATTTTTAATTTAGTGACCATCTTGATGGCGTGGGTTAATTTCAGGGACTATCTTGATGGTGTGAGTCAATTTCAGAGACCATTTGTGATTAAAAAAAAAAAACCTGTAAATCTTGTGGGGCCCATTTATGTGCTACTTCAGCACTTAACATAATTTTTAATAGCAATGTGAAGGAATAACCATATTGATTTGCGACACATATTTTCAAAGACTACACTGACCGATTTTTAATTTTAGAAACCATCTTGACGATGAGGGTATTTTCCAAGAATCATTTTTGATAAAACCCCATTATAATTTTGTTCAAAGAAGGAAGGATCTTTTGCTTCTTTCTCCATCAATTTTGAATTTCGTATCATGTTCCACTTCACTTTCTTCCGGATCTCAGATTCGCAAAGATCCCCATTTCTTCACTACTTCATTTATTGATATAATTACAGACTAATGAACTTAAAAAAGAAAATCATCAATCTTGAGCCCAATGCATTCAAAACTAAAAGAGATGAGATCAAAAGGAGTGTCCACGTGCACTCGTGAAAGAAAGAACAATTGAGGTAATTTCTTTCCACCATTTTTCACTTTTGAACACAATTTTTTAGCACAGATCTAATAAAAATCAAGAACCAAAATTAAAAAGGCGTGCAAAACGTAAAAATGAATGTACAGAAATTACTTCCTTCAACACAAAAGTACAAGTCGCAAAGAGACCGCAGGCAACACCGCGTCTCGCACCGGCACTGTCCCTCAACTATTTTCAATGACCAAAATATCCTCATATTATCACCCCTTTCCATTTGTCACCTGGTTATTCCCTCTAATTACAATTCAACCCCACTCCATGTTTATTCATACATGATAAGAAGTTCAAGTACGTATCCCAATACTAGTACTCCTGTATCCCTTCCAAGCTGTATAATTCTCTGTAAATAAATACACACTTACAAGCATTAAAACTCGGCAGAATCCACGCCGTAACTACTCCTCCCCTTCGTCGTCGCCGCCGCCGCCGAAGATCGAAACCTTGTTGTAAAGAAGGAATAAAACGAGGCAGAGAAACAATGCAACCCCAACCGGCGACGGCGAGCCACTAATGCTGTGGGTGGTGTAGGGATCCCCGGTCGAGAACGAGGAGACGAAGGAGCCGCTGGAAGACAGGAACTGAATGATGATCACGAGGAGAATAATGGGGAGAAGGAGAAAACCCAACTGACTCAAAAGCTCGCTGAAGGCTTCGATTATGGCCCCCCCTTGTTCACCTACATAGGACGGCACCACGAACAACGCCACGACCACCAACGCTAGTAGAATCCCGTGGGGGGGCAGTTCCGGCGTGCCTCTCCTGATGTATCATTTTTGTGTGTTGTGTTTTTTTGGTAAGACTTTTGTGTTTTGGTTGGGGCGGGTTGGAGGGATTAAAATAGGGTGGCTGTGATGCGTTTGGCTGAGGTTGTGACTTGTGAAGTGGTTTTCTAAGGAGTGACTGGAGACTGATAAAATTGATGTGGATGGCATGTGTTATTATATGTTTGCTATTTGGGTGACTCTTAGATCTAAATTTGAGTTTTTTATTCGGGTTGATGATGATGATGGATTGGAACAATCAAAATTCAAATGGAACTTTCTTTTTGTCTTGGTTATAAAAACAAAAGAAAAGGACTGAATTAGGTTAGCAATTTTGTTTTGCTCCGGTGATTTGTTTGTGTCGCTTATGCGATTTATGTGGCCTCATTGTCGATGGTTTTATGTCAGGTACCAGTGTTAGGATTGTCGCGTCTGCCTTCTTTGTGATAGTTTTATCCGGGGCTCCTGTTCGTGGTGGTCTATTGTGTAGACGTATAGGAGTTTAAAATTATTTGTATCTTTTGCAAACTATTTCCAGATCAAGAAATTCATCACTGGAGAAATTGTACCCATCTGGCACCTCTTGTGTTTGGTTGTTGATAGTAATTAAGCACTCTATTGCTTATGTCAAAAAATAAAAAAGAAAAGAAAAGAAAATGATTGAATTATTATTTTGGCCACTGTAGTTTCAGTTTTCACGATTTGGAAATTACAAAATGATAGTTGTAGCAATTCAAGGACAATAACTTGTGTTTTATTTTTAAAGAAACTATAAAAAAAAATGGGCACATAAAAGGTGTTATCTACATGTAAAAGTTTATCTTATCCTCACGCATGCTCTAATTTTATCGGAAATTAATTTATTGTCCTTAAATTACAATATTAGTAAGCAACATGCATCATGAAAACGATATAGATGAAAGTAAAACTCCGCCCAAACTAAAGCGACCAAAACCATAATTTAGCAAAAGAGAAATATCAAATAAAAGAGGCATATGGTGTGGAAGAAGAAAATTACATTCCTTTCCAATTTTCCAACAAATGCTAAGGGACATATTTGTTTCTTGTCAATTTGTAATTAAGTGGCATGGTTTTAGACTGCTTTTTTGTGTGGGCAGAAATTCTCAGAAAATGTAATGGATTGTATTTTGATTTACTCGCCTGACCGAGTAACCGAGTGACGAGTCTGTGTATGGAATTGTGAAATTACACAGAAGGTTCACACCGTTTAGGACCAGACTAGGAAGGTACCTGCAGAATGCAGGTTGCAGCCATTACCACAAATGTTGGAGTCACATTCAAACAAAAGATCTGGGAATTGGGAAGTGAATGTGGGAATCAAAAGCATCAAACATTGGGATTTCAAGGGTATTAGCAAGGAGGTGGAGCTTCACATCTTGGACTCATTTGAGACAATTTCTTCCAGAGACCTCTATATGAAGATAGCAGAATGTATGAAGTTTTAGAAGAACAGAAAATTATATGAAAATATTGAGAGAAAATGATAGATGTAAAATGTATTTGATTTTCCTTACTGTGTTGTTTTACAATTCACACTTATATAAGTGTTTCCAAAACTCAATCTTACAAAGTAAGTAACCTCCTTTTAACTACCTCCTTATGTCAACCAACTATCTCCTTATTCCAACTAACTATATCTCTAACCACTAAGATTCCAACTAACATACCAGCCTTTATAGTCTCTTGACAAGTGGCATTAGTTACCCACTGATATCCTTTTCACTTGGACCACTATTTTCCACTTCATTCTTCTTACACTCTAAAGCAGTAAGGTCGAGTTTGTTCAAATTCGACATATCCATGTCACAAATTGACAAGATTGTGGTTAGTGCAATGGAGACAAAATTTATCAATCCATTCCTGTAGGAGTAGAACATTCGGGATCTATTAGACATGTGTTGGTTTA